TCTAAATTGTTTGGGGAATAAATGTAGATTTTAAAAAAATCTGCCCATAACGTAGAATCATTAGCAGATAGGAATTGTGCATATTGGCACTAATTTAGCCCATCAGAGTTTAGAAAAAGACAATCAAGCTTGACTTATGCTTGCATAACTTATAAAACCTAGGCTTTTTAATGAAACTTGACTTTTTGCCATATTAGATGTAAAAAGATTTCTCTGTAAAACTAATTTGAATAATTTAAAATATATGAAAATTGACCCAGAAGAGATTAAATCTTTCACGACTGACCAAGGAAGAAAGTGCAGTGGTTGAAGGCACAAGTTAACTATCTAAAGGGAACTATGGGAAAGATAAGAATCCAATTACATTTTAGGGACTAACTGATCTTAAGATAGAACTAATACAAATTTTATCTCTATTTCTCCAGTAGGACGGACAATATGTTATTTTATATTTCTGTCAAGGGGCAGAGGAGTATGGAAACTGTCTGGCATGGCAGCAGTATAAAGAGGCAGTAAGAAGAAATCAGGCCTATGGAAAGTAGAAGGCTATCTTACATGAGATCCTCCTTATGCCATTAATACTTCCATGCAGGCTGATAAACAGTTCTTCTCATCTTCAGCAATCTCCCATTGGCCAAGTATTTAGGGCCTGACCCTATGTCCATGGAGACTGTAAGCAGTTTGGGGCTAGGGACTGGCATTTTCTATATATTTGTACAACATCTAGCACATTGTGGACCTAGCCTGGCTGGTCTCTAGGCACTGGGGCAATAAAAATAATAATAGTAGCTGTTACTATTGAAGTCAATAGAAAGACTTCCATTGCCTTCAGTGGCCTTAAATAATTTCCCTAAATCTCATAGGGTCAGATTTTCAAAGGTATTTGGGTGCCTAAAGATGCGAATCTAGGTGCATTTGAAAATCCCACCAGGCACCTATCTACATCTTAGATACCTAAATGCCTTTGAAAATCTTGCCCTTAGATATTAGTCTTGCCTATTAGGCAGTGGTGTAAATGCAGAGCTACACAGTCTCAACAGGAACTCCATGACACATTGTGCATGTAGGGAGCTCAATGACACTGGCACTCCATCAGTAGGCATCAGGCACATGGACATTGCTGCACCCCTTAAGCGAATGTGCTGGGAGAACCCTTCCAGCTAGTCAGCTTTCCTGGCATGTAGAGAGCATTCCTTGTACTCACAAGGAAGCAAGGACTGCAGCTCTGGCCAGGCACTGCATGAGGACCAGAGGGAGGGAGGCTTACTTAGGATTGTCTCTAAAAGGTTCTTGAGATTGATTAACTGGGCTAAAGTCACAACTAATTTCTATTTCCTGTTGCCTCTTTGACTGCTGTTGAATGTACCAAGAATATTCAGGTCAAACATGCCTGCTGAATATATGACGTATGCCCTATTTCACTGATGTCACAGCAGATGCAATGGACTTCTCACAATGAAGTGGTTACTTTTAATACATATTAAAAGGAAGGAAAATAATTTTCTTTGAAGCTAAAACCAACCGTTACCTCTACTGTAGACTGATCTGAAGTGTCTGGTCATGTTTTCACTTGGACTGAGTGGTTTTGTGAAGAAATGATGTGTGACCTATAAATTGTGTTAATACTTACTGATCAACTGAAAATTTGATTGGAATACAGATAAAGTGGAAAGCCTTCAAATAACATTGAATGGCATGCTGTCAGGGCAAAAGTGCAGTAGAATTTGAAGAAAACTTTTCCTCATGGATAGTTATGCCATCTATTGTGCAATATATTATAATGGCATGATAGCTCTTTAAAATCCTCCTAGTTTTACCTAGGACACAGTATATAAACGTGTGTGTGTGTGTGTGTGTGTGTCCTAAGTGTCTGCAGATTTCACTTGTCCTTCTCAGTGTTTACTACAGAAAATACCTTGAAAGCTGCAAACAGGAGGGTTATCAAACTGAAAAATCTTACTTAACTAGTAAATTTTAAGGGCCACTGCTGTATGAAATGTCAGGCTAGGTTAGAATTAAGAAGACCATTTTAGGTCTGTGCAGAATGGGTAGAGATTCTTTATGAGACAGGACTATCTCTAATAGCAGAGAGCTCCAAAGGCACTAAGAGATACATTACAGACACAAAAGAGGGCTGTGCTGCTTTCAAAGATGATGTGACTATGGCAGCCAGGGGATATGGATTCACAAACCATCCTCACATTAGACTCTACTAGTGGCCCTCCTATGGAGCCTCTGAGAGAATTTAAACTGCCAGCCTCTGATGGAACTGTCTACTCCTCCAGAGAATGGCGGTGTAACAGCATCTCTGCTCACTGGGGCAGAATCTACTTGGGTGCAGCAACTCCCATTGGCACAGATAATGCAACTTGTATCTTTGAACCAGCAGAGGCTGAATCTGATCTCTTTTGGTAGACTATAAACATTAAAGCTTGAAATCTAATGTATCATTATGTTTTGTGAGACTTCAAATTTTTCTTGGTGTTGTACTCCACTCATGTTCCATATGACTGTAACCCGGTATACAGGAGAATAACCTCATTGAGTCACCAGAGATATGACTGCTAGTCTTTTAATGCAAGAGTTTGATTGTTCCTCCAAACAAATACAATAATTTATTATATCCTACAAAATTCAAAAGTATTCTGGTGGTATATTTTCAAAGTGGTGCATGCCAGCTGTAGCTCTGTGTCTCCTATTATGGTCAGACCCCATATAAATTTTTGAAAATACTTCTCTAAAAATCAGCACAACTCAGCAGGCCTAGAATATAGAAAGGAGGCCAAGAAAAATGTTAATTTTTAATGGTTGGAACTCTGGATAATTGAAGTGGATAGGGTATAAAACAAGAATGAATCAGGGCTTCTTCCCTAAGCTAAAATTGAACTCAACTTGATTTTTGTGTATTCTCACACCACTGCACTTGCTGTTTTAGCTGGGACTGGAATTATGAGTCACTGAACGCTAAAAGAAAGGCTGTTTTAGCAGTTTTCCTGTCCATCTGATGGCAGCAAGCACAGAAAAACTCACAAGAAAGCAAAGTCTTCTGATATTTACAGATTGAAGCAACTCTGGTAAGCTTTAAATAAACACCCAAACTTTTGCATGCTGATCCATATTGACCTTTCGGGCCTCTAGAGTTTCATCTGTCACTGGTTTCTTAACTCTCAGGGCCCTATCCTTCAATCCAGCCAGTAACCAGTATAACTCCTGACGTTCTTGTGGCCATTAACTAGCACTGTCCAGCTAAAAGTAGGCTGATTTCCTAAGTGTGCAATGAAAATTCACTGGAGTTCCCATTAGCTGCTTCTGAGGGCTTAAAAATGGAAACTTATTCCATTTATCTGTATTCTACTCTGTTCATCAGTCTGGCAAGAGAGCAACACATCCTATAGTGACAAGCTGGGTATAGATCATATTGAATAATGGATGAAGACCTTTCCAGCCTCTGTAGTCTCTGTATTTGGACTCTTCAGTATCTTCCTGTGTTCAATAAATTATTAAGTTCAGATAACTCCACAACAACAGATAACTCCACAACAGCACAATCTTATATGTCAGAACAGAACAATGAGAGTCTGTTCTTGCACTATACTTTCCTAAATACAGAAAGTGTGAATTGTGTGTATATAGTCTCTCTCTCTCCCCTGCCACTTTACTGTACTGTATATTTTATGCATACACACCCAGACTCATCCACACTATCACCATGCAGATCAGTTTGCTAGGGACAAATTGTGACCACCTCCTGTGCTCAGGCACAGGAGTGGAGGGACAAAAGAAACCGTCACAGTAACAGTTCCTGTACTCCCTGATTGTAGGGAACACAGGGAATGCTTGTTCCTGATGTCCTACTCCTTCCCCCAGATCATGGGCCAATCCCCACTCTGCACAGAAAGAGCATGTACACCAAAGGGACCAATCATATTTATCCTGTTCTGGTGAGATTGTGTCCACTCCAGGCAAAATCTCTCCACTCCCCTTCCTGAGATTGTGCTCCACTCCTCCACATACAAAAGGCTATGGTATAAAAGGCATTAATGTTTATGATACAGTTTTATAGACTTTCAGTCTACTGTACACATTGCTGTTAGGGTATGGTTAATCCTACACCAGCCAGATTTGGTTTGTGTACATATTTCAGCAGGTTAAAACAAATGTCATTAAAAATGGGCCAAATTTTCTGAGTGCTCAACTTGGCTTCAGTTACACATCACATCCCCACTGCTGGCAGAAGTTATCATAGGCATACACAGATGCTAACAAACAGAAGGTGCCAGCATATATTTGTATGTATGCAGATGGAAACACGGAGAAAATGCTTGCTTTGGTCCAAATTGTAAAAATGAAGTCCAAGGGCCTTCATATCTGATTTTGACAGCTGTTTTTGTATGTGTGTGAGAAAAAGTGGCCCACAGAGAAAGGTAATATGAAAAGATAAGGAACTGGAACATAAATTAGTGGGCATCATTATGCTACCAATAGCAGTAGCATAATCACATATCATTTACCGTTACATTGTACTTTGCACTGGCCAGAAGTTCAGAAAGTTGGTTGAGGAAAAGGAATACAGAATGAGAAGCTACACAAAATAAGCCACATATTGATTGAGCATGCACTGTCAGGAATCACTAATGTAGAGTCACCGTGGACACTGGGTGGCAATAAAGTAAATGCCCAAACACTATAAATAACAGACTACATCCCATCATCAGTGAATAGTAAACGTTTTTAACTATTTACACCACTTTGGAGTATAATAGGGCATTTTAGGAGAAGCTTAGCAACATCAACAAAACTACGCCTTTTACGCCTGGCATGGATAATAATTGAACTAGAAAGCACAAACACCAATAATTTAAAATGTTTTGGAAACATCCAAATCATTCATGATGAGCAAGGTTTCAGAATAAACAATGTGAAAAATGAATTTAATAGAATTAAAACATAGACTAGGAATTCAGAGAACGAAAAGTATTGGATTGTAAACCAGATCCTACCTGGGTAACCTTCTCTGTTACATTGTGCGTTCGATCTTTCACCTTGGGTGCAATAATTGTTTTCTCTGAAGAAGGAGGTGATGAAGACTTTTTGTCATTTTTGATATCTGAAAAGTTCAGAGTGAGCTGAGGAATTTTGTTGATGGTACTATATTTGTTGAGGTTCGAATCCGATGTGGATCCCAATAGACTTGACTTGATATGATTGAAAGGCCCTAAAAATTGGAAAGCATACTTAATATTTGACAAATGGAGAGAACTAAAGACTTTATCCATGATGTTTAAATGATGAACCACAGAAATATGTACCTAAAATAGTTAATCTAAATTTTGTTTATAATAAAAAAGTCTGTATAAAAAGAGGACTTTTACTGGCCAATAAGGCACAAATTTGCTTTTGGATGGGCATACACAATTCTCTTTGTCCACAGCCTACGGTACTGTACATGAAGTCAATGGATAAACCATGTCAATGGATGCTGTGTATATATATCCCTAAAAATTCTGAACCAGTCACAATATAGGTTGGAAATATAATGTCCTTACTTTACATATAAAAGTGAAAGAAGGTCACAGGAACTGATTTTGTACAGGAATGGCAGTTCTGCCTGGGTGCTCAAGAGCTGTAGTCTTCAGCATTGTGACTCACTGAACAGCGAAGTCACAAGATTATTTTTTATTACTGGTTAAACACATCTGTGTTGCTTATGTCTGTAAAATTATAAATTATAAAAGCTGAGCATATTTTGGTAAATTGAGTAATATTATTTGAATATTTGCCCTTTCTCCAAATCCTGCTGATTAAATCATTTCAGGTATTTTAGACAACAGTCAATTGAGTGCAGATATGGTTTAAAATTATTTGACATCCATCTTTAAAATAATTACAGTGGAGATGGAGAAGCAGTAGTAATTTTACATGCAAAAAATTGAAGTGATTTTACTAAAAACAAGTATTTATTTATCTCATTAAGGTATTTTATAACCTGTGTCTCTCTTCATTCCCTTGGTTTAATTAATTAGCTATGACATCTAGGTCCCTTAGCATGATGCATCTATTGTGATATCCTGGTACTTAATGCCTGCTGTGTCTTTATTTGCATATAGATTCTAAATCTCATTTTTTTTCATCCATGTGATCAGGATTATAATAGAGAGAAAATGGTACCAAACAGTTTTCAATCAGTAATCTCATTCTCATATTGTTTATTGAAGTCTACTCCACAGAGGACCAATTTACTATTACTGCATTCTCAACAGACTGCACTTTACTTATGTAATTTGTCATATGGTCATTTAGCCAATGTTATAATCTGATCCGCTTTGGTAGTGCTCCAGTCTCAGGTGGCACTGGTCCAGTGTATAGAGATTCTAAATAAAATTAGATTCATAACTGGTTCTAAGGAATATTTTTAAATATATACAGTGAGTTAAATTCATCCATTATACAACTTTACTAGAGCAAATAGAAATATACCTGGGATGGATTTGGTCCAATAAACCATATGTAAAACTACTAAAAGAATTTTAGAACTGTTCTTTGAATTGAAGTATTCATTAATATATGGTCTTCATTTTGGGTTTTTAGGCACCCAACAAGGACCAAAACCCAAGATTTTTATTGCATTTTTACTCAGACATTATTTAGACAAAGCTCCTATTGACTTCAACTGAATAAGGGGCTTAGGATTTGACTCGTGAATATTATGGAATGTTCCTGAAAAACCTCTTATACCAGTGCACTAATTTTCAAGAAGTATTGTTACAATTGTCATTCTCAACAAATTATTGGGAGAAATAGGACTTCCTATCATATTCCATATACATTTCAGAGCCTTGTGTTCTTCTAATAAGATTCATGATAGTTGTTCAAAAAGAACTGCAACTCAGATGCTTCATGAAATGGATGTCGGTTAAAGGTAGCTCTTTCCAATACTGCACAGAGGCATTTGAATCTATACAGCTGATCATTACTCTACACTCTGCACTGGTCTGAGAGCCAGAAAATGTGCTTGGTACAAAGTAATCTTTTTAAAGAGGGGAGTGGGACTGGAGAACCATAAGGAAGTTTAGAGATAAAATTAATTACCCCTCTCTGAGAAATGGCTTTATTTGTTTGACTAGCTCTTTGACTAGTGATTCACTAGAGATTTAATAAAAACAAGGAGGAGTCCTTGTGGCACCTTAGAGACTAACAAATTTATTTGGGCATAAGCTTTCGTGGGCTAGAACCCACTTCATCGGATAACTGGAGGGAAAATACAGGAGCAGGTATAAATACATAAAAGGATGGGGGGTTGCTTTACCAAGTGTGAGGTCAGTCTAACGAGTTAAATCAATTAACAGCCGGATACCAAGGGAGGAAAAATAACTTTTGAAGTGGTAAGAGAGTGGCCCATTACAGACAGTTGACAAGAAGGTGTGAGTAACAGTAGGGAGAAATTAGTATTGGGGAAATTAAGTTTAGGTTTTATAATGACCCAACCACTCCCAGTCTCTATTCAGGCCTAATCTGATAGTATCCAGTTTGCAAATTAATTCCCTTTCTATAACATTAGTATTATAGCACACTTGTTTTTTATCCTTTGGCTTAAAAAAAGTTATTTCCAGGTTTAAAATATCTTTGACAATGAGTTAATAACGTTACTTCATTGAAGGACATTACTGGGTTAATCCCAAATGTCTGGTTTGCAGTGACTGAAAATTACTCCCAACTGTGAGCTGCTCTGGATTCATTTCCTAGTAGACAGATGTCTGTACCAGGGAGAGGAAAAAACAAAAGAAAAAAAACCAAAACAAAATACCACCGCCACTGACGCTAATTGGCCCCTTCTTGACAGTTTCAGCAGAGAGACCAGGGATTGAATAAACATGGGAAATGAAATATCCCTCCCTTTGCCCCAAACGAAATCCCTCTAGATCAGATGTGAGGCACGTTGGTGGGGCAGTGTTGCACTGTCACGGCTTGTGCTGTACCTGTTCTGTAGATTAATTGAGGACTTCACTCTCCTGTGATGTCAATCCATCATCTTTCACTAGCAGTAAATTCACTTACAAAACTTGATTTACAGAAAAAAGACATTGCACTATATTTAAAATTCTGCTGACATACACAAGAAGCAAATGTAGTGACTTCATAGTCCACTGGTGATGAATTGCTTACAAAGTTTAGCTCATGCACTGCATGCAGTTTAGTAAGGAGACATTTTACCAGGTACACACACTTTTGCAGCATGCATGAAATCATGAACCAAACAGTCCCCAAATTTAGCTACAATTTAGCTACAAATTTAGCTAGTCAAAAAATTATTGCAGTTTTCTGTTTTCTGTTGCAGAATTCAGTTTTCTGATGCATTGTGCAAGAAGTGTTTTCCAGAAGCAGAAGAAGGAGCTATGGAATTAAATCCAAATGGTATATACAAGGCACAGCTCAGCCACCTTTTCCTGTCATTGTTCTGGTGAATAGAAATGATTTCTGAATACTAGTGTACATGATTAAGAGTTATTTCAATGTGAAATTGGCAATGAAGTTCATGCATGCCCATTTGAATACTACAGTAAGCTTGAAACCATACCCCCTGCCATCCAGGAGCGTGAAACTAGTTTTAAGGAGACAAAAGAGGAATAAATGAAGAGACTGCCACATGGGTCCTGATTATTATTTAATGTTCTTTACTTGTAAGATGGTAACTGAAATAGAACTAAATGCCTCCTAACTATTGATTGTTCACTAAGGATCCAATTCTACAGTCATTTCATAGACAAAATTCCCAGTGGCTTCAATAACAGTTTTGCCTGTATAAGAACTGCAGCGCTGAATTAGGTAATCTCTCTTTCTCTCTTTTTGTTAACAAACATTTAAGAAGAACGAGCATAATTAATATTTAACCATTCCTTCACTTCTTCCAAGGAGTGATAGCTAATGTAGTGGCTATAGCTGAGGGACTAATTATGTCTCCAACAAACTAAAACAAAGATAATTTCAGTAATGCACCTGGCCCTATAGAGGTCAGCATGAGAATGTTGCATTTGTACATTTCATACAGCAGGCAAGTTAACATGCCAAGGAGTGTGGCAGCTGAAGAACTGGGTGGTACCTTTTATACTCATACATTACCTTTGACATTGCGACCATTGTCTGGTTTTCAGCATAATAAGAATAAAGGAGAGAAGAGAAAAGAAGAAAACTAAAATCTACATCAGAGAATGCACAATACATTGGTTAAAATATATATTTGACTGGAATTACTATATTTTTCAATCAATTTGACTTCCAATTAAGATGAAATCATTTTGATAATTAAGTGATTATGTTCAACAACTTTTAAAACTCACGTGGTAGATCCTCTGCTGTTGTAAACTATCATAACTCCATAATGGACCTATGACAATTTACAGCAGTGAAAAATCTCCACCATATGCCTTCCCTGAGTAGCAAAATTTCAATACATTTCCTCCACAATATGCTGATTTTGAGATTGATCCTCCAATTGATCCTTTTTGAAGAAAAAAGCTATCCTTCCAAGAAGTGGCAAAATGGTAAATTTTAATTAAATAAACACCATGAGGCCAGATTTGCAAAGGTTTGTAAAGGTTGTTTTAGGCACCTACAGATGCAGATAGGCACAGAGGGTGGGATTCACAAGGGGGAAATAGGCATCCAACTGCCTCTTTTGGCTCCTAAATCCAACATTTAGGTACCACCAGCATTCATGAAATCCCAGTGGCTGCCTAACCCTACAGGTGCCTAAAATCTCTAGACACCCACCATTAAAGTTCCTGAGGCACCTACATTTTGGCAGATGGACAGGCTAACAGCTATCTCAGTCCTGACGGCACTAAATGTCTAGGCACCTCATTCATGCCTAAGCCCCAGCAGGATTCACAAATGGCCTCTTGGGCCCGATAGAGTAGGTATGCTCAGGCATGCCTAAATCCGCACAAAACAGCCAGAGGCGGTGGCTGTCCTTGTGCTTCTCTTCTTCCCTGCCCCCCCTCCACCCTGTGCCCCCTCCATCCCACCCCTTTATAACTTCTAGCCCACTGGTTAGGACATTCATGTGGGATGTGAGAGATTCAGGTTCCAATGCCTCCTGCTCCAATGAATGTTTAATTATTTATACACATTGGAACAGCTTCAACTTCTTGAACTTCTTCAACAGCAACAACAGCTTCTTCAGGAGAGAGAGAGAGACCTACCCCATAGCCCAGTGGTTAGGGAATGCTCCTGAAAGGTGGGAAACCCAAATCCAAGTCCCTGCTCCAAATCAGACACAAGGGGAATTGAACCTGAGTTTTCCATGTCCTGAGTGACTGCTCTAACCACTGGACTTTGTGCAAGAGGGCAACAGCTCCTCCTCCTCTTTTCTTGAGAAAGGGCTGACCTAGCTTAGATGCCTAACTCCAAGAGAGGGTCCAAGACTGAATCCCAAATGGTGACATGGGCCTCCCTCTGGCCTGCACTTAAGTAACTTTGAGTGGTGGGGGTTAGACCACATCTTTCTTCTCAGCATTTCCTTTTGGCTAGTTTGGGCAGTTCCCTGATCAGCATTTTGGGCTTTTGTGAATCCTATTCTTAGGCACCTAATTCTCCCCTTGATTGTACAGGAGCTTGGCACCTTCCTCAGGGGTGCGGTGTATTGTAGCACCTAAGTACCCCTTGTGAATCCCACCTTAACTCCCATTGCTTTCAGTGGGAGTTTATCAGCTAGGTGGTTCTGAAAATCCCACTAGGAGCCTAGGCACCTAACTCAGCCTTGTGCATTACACTGTTGTTCCTGTGATTTTCTAGATACCTAAAAGCTAGGCACTGTGATGCTCAGCATCACAATGCCTAAATCCCTTCATAGATCTGGTGCCCATGTACATCTTTAGGTGTCTAGGTGCCCATGTACAATCTTTAGGTGCCTACAAATATTTTTTAAAATGTGGCCCATAGGACCTAATCCAAGTCCATTAAAGGGAATGGAAATATTTCTACTGACTTCCTTGGGCTTTGGATCAGGTCAATGGGGCTGGGAAACTGCCATGCCAGGCACCTGGAAAGGAGCTGACTCTGCACAACCTGCTTTTGTCCCCTGGTTATAGATGGCATACCTGGCTCCTAGTGGGCTGTTAGGAACCGGGATGACTTAGAGAGCACAAAGGCAGTATACATCTTTCCTTAGCCATGCCAAACAGGGATGTGGCATACCTAAGGACTAGGCCCATTTTATTTCTAGCTACCAGCTGCCTGGAATCTTTCTGTCTCGTGCCTCCTCAAAAGTGATACAGATTCTGCAGGCTAAATTGGGATCTCAGCAACACCTATTCAAAACCCCTTCAGCCTTTGGTGCATTGCACAGGTGTTACGGAGGGCATGATCTGAAGCCACTCAGGTTGCCTAGGTGTAGCTGAAGCCTAAATCGCCTCCAGAAGTTGTAATACTGGTGCTGGTGTTTGAAGTGTAAAAAACCCACCGTGCGCCTGGAGCACAGGGCAGGTAGATAATGTAGGCTCTCCCTGGCTTTTTATTTTTATACTTTCAAACAGAGTAAATCTGATATGGAAACCAATGAAACACACACAACTGAATTTGGAAAGCCACACTGCCATTTTTACTGAGTCACCTTTTAGCACAGAGCTGCATTTTAAAACAAGCTGACAATTACAGCTTCAATATTTTTGATAGGTAGCTGGACCACATGAAATCATTGATACTCTCAATGACCCTTGCCTTCTGTGGTAAGAAAATCTGAACCCAGCTGAATTAGTGCAGTTACCAGCAAACTAAATTACCTTATTCTACTTCTGTTTGAATCCTCTTAAACAGGCTCCATTCATATTTTTTCAGACTGAGGAAATGTAAAAATATTTTAAATCTGAAGGCTACATTTCAATTTCAGTCAGGACTTCTGTGTAAAATTCCTAATTATTAAGGATCTAGAAACACATAGAATAGTGAAAAGAAATGTATTAGCCTATGCTTTGTGCCTTCCTTGGGCCAGACATTTTGCTTGATTAGGACCACAGAATTTGTCCTTCTATGATTGCAGATGACCTTTATTTAGGATTTATATGCTCCAGCTCCAGTACATGCAGTAAGGGCTAAAACAGCTGGATTGGGTGCCATGAAAAAAATATGTTGGGTCAAATCCTGCTTGCCTTATTTGTGTGAATAAGGTGAGTAGGATTTTGACTCACTGGCTAAAAATTTAAAAAATCCTTACAGCATAAGTTGCTACTTTCTAATAAGTTTCCCAATAGATGGCACCAGAGATGGTTGCTGTATTGTTGTATTGCTAATACAAATTTGTAACTCATCCTGCTGTTGGAAGTGTTCTACAGCACATATTTAACATCCACATGTACTGTATAAAGTTATAGGACCTGATTCTCTGTGTGTAATCCTCTGGTGAGTGTGTGTTACAGGTCCCCCTCTGTGCCAATTCACAAAGGATATGAGTAGTCACAGCCCCTACCTACAGAGACTGTCTAGCTCAAGCTATAGCAGATAATGCATTTATCTCTGGAGGTCCTGGTGTGTTGGCCAAGAGGGCAGCTGTTGCACTTGTGCCTTATATCATCATTTACATCTATGCCAAGTGCAATCAGAATGATGGTAACAATAATACAATAACTCTTCTATAGCACTTTTTCATCAGTAGATCTTATAGTCCTTCATAAAAGAGGTCAGTTTTATATCCATTTTGCACTTGGCCTGGATATAAATGTGCAAGACAATGGAGAATCAGGCTCATGGTTTGTAACTGTGATCAGGTACAACATCCATAGCACATATATATACTTTATAATGTCTCACATAGGTTATTCAGATTTCTTTTGCTTTGTAATTTAAATGCTTTTAAAGTAGTTATTCTGTGAAATCTAGCTCTTCCACAGAATGTGAAGGACTATTTTATATCAATATTTTTGCAAGAACCTTTTATCATTCACAACCAAAGAAAATGTTTCATCAAACTTGATTTAACATATTTACACCATATTAATAATACCATCTGAGCATTATTTTAATCAGATAAAGCTCTCAAAATAGAAAGTGACAACCAAAATGTTTTTTTGGGGTCCAAACCAAAACCTGTTTAACTTCTGGGGAATTTAAGATCCAGATTGACATTTCCATAATGGGCCAAACCAAAATTAAAATTCTTAATTTTGGAGTTGTTTGGCTCCAGTTTCTGAACTGATCTTTGTGCCTTGGCTTGCATTGTAACCTGAAACCCAGCAAGATGTTTTGGTTGGAGTGAGTTACATTGAATTTTTCAGGTGCTTTCAAATACAAAGCTCAGTGTAAGCCCATGAGAACAAAAATGGAAAAGGAAGGACAACTTGAACATTTCAGCAAACTGAAATCAATGCATTTAATAAATTATTTTTTAAAATTTTGTAGGAAATAATGAATTTCTAATATTTCTTTACTTCTTTTCTCCACTGAAGTAGATGGAATTGATCTGGATTTACACTGGTCAGAATAAGACCAGAATTTGCTCCTTAACCCTATACTTATTTGCCAGTTATTGGCTTAGAACTTCAGACTTAAATGTTCTCCAACATAAAACTCCCAATGGTCATTCTCTGTTTGGAAAGACTGTTGATTTAACCTCAGGTTCTTAGAGTGCGATCCACAACGGTATTTAGGCACCTAAGTCCCATTTTTAGGTACCACTGCTATCTATAAAATCCCCAATTGGCTGCCACCCAACCTGTAGGCACCTATGTTTTTGCCACTGCACTGCAGCCTCACTCTAGGGGGCTTATCTTCCCTCAGGGGCCTATCTCCAGTCTCAGCTCCTGAGTGATTCACAAACCAGGGAAGATAGGAGTTATCACCACCTAATCACACGCAGGAGCCTGATCCCACAGGCATACGCAGAAGCTGCCTATTGAATTAGGTCTCTCAGGCAAGTTCATAGCAAACAGCAGCAGGAAGACATCCTTTGTAATCTTAAACCTGGTGGATAAAGTACTCACCCACTGTGGGAAACCTGCCCCACCCCCGTTCAAGTTTCCTCTCCTCGTAATGATGACAAGGGATTTGAATAGAGACTTGCTACTGCCCCAGAGAGTGTCCTTATCACTAGGCTATAGAGTCATTCTAACTCTTTCACTGACCCAATTAATATTTATTTATTCAATTAAAGTGGAACAACTTCAATAGCAGAGACTGAGGGAGCCCTACATCAAATATCTCATAGCCCAGTGGTTAGGACACTTATCTGAGAGGTGGTAGATTCCTATTCAATTTCTCTCTGCCCCGCTGTAAGAGGGGGGACTTGAACTAGAGGTATAGTGAGTGAGTATCCTATTCACTAGGCTGAAAGTTATAAGAGAGGACTGCCTCCTCGTGCTTTATTTTGGGCCCCGCATGCAACTTAGGCAGCCAAATGCCTATATTTCCTCATGGATTGTAATCAGAGCTAGGTGTGTCCTGGAAGTTCAGACTGAGGCACCAAACTCTGAGAGAGAGGGGTGGGGCTTAGCATACATCCCTCTGGTTTGCATCTCCCATTGGCTAGCTTAGGTGACTCCCTGCCTAGGCTTCGTGTTGGCTGGATTGTAGTGCACAGTACCTATTTCTCCCAATTTTTTGTATATGAGCATAGGTACCTATGATAAATGAAGTGGGAGGTAGCTTCCTTTTATGGACACCCAGCCAGCCAGTTAGCTATACAACCCTTTTGGTAGTTGTTCTCTACTTGCTTTACCTGTAAAGGGTTAAAAAAGCCCATAGATAAAAAGAAGGGAGTGGGCACCTGACCAAAAGAACCTTTTAAAATTGGGAAAAAAACTTTCCCTTTGTCTGTTTTGTTTTTCTCTGGAGAGAGGAGACGCCGAGCAGGAACTGGGCTGAACTATAATATAGGAAGCTTTAAGCCAGGTATGAAAAACCATCAGATCATACATAGAGATTGCTTATCTGAAACTCCAGACAGGTAAGTAAGTCAGGAAAGGTCTAGGAAGACGTGATTAGGGTTATTTCTTTTATTTCTTATTGGCTTGTGGACTCCTCTGTGTTAACCCCAAATGCTTTTATTTTGCTTGTAACCTTTAAACTGGACCTCAAGAAGGTTATTCTTGATGTTTTATTTTTGCAAGTGGGTTTTTTAAATCTAGCAAAAGCCTAAGTTCCAGATGAATTTTCTTTCTTTTTGTTTTTAATAATTTTTTTTAAGAACAGGATTGGATTTTTGGTGTGCTAAGAGGGGTTTGTGCATATGTTGTTTAAGTAGCTGGTGGCAACAGCTGATTTCCTTTGTTTTTCTTTCTCAGCTCTTCCCCGGAGCGAGGTGTGTGTGTGTGTGTGAAAGGGCTTGAGGGTACCCCACAGGAAGGACTTCTGGGTTCTCAAAAGGGATTTTTTTGCATTTGGGTGGTGGCAGCATCAACCTATCCAATGTCAGAGAGAAGCTGTAACCCTGGGAGTTTAATACAAGCCTGGAGTGGCCAGTATTCATTTTTAAAATCCTTGTGGTCCCCAACCTTCTTCACTCGAAGTGCCAGAGTGGGGAATCAGTTTTGACATAACCCAGGCTTTGTGGCTGACAGCATTGTTTCTATGCTTTTCTAGGTGTCTAAAAGTTAGGTGTTGCAATGTGCAGTGTCACGAAGCCTTAGAGCCTTTGTGGATCTGGGCCTTGTGTTCTAATTCCATAGCTGATGTTTATATATATATATATATAGCTGTGGATTCATGGCAAGTGCTGTTTGACTTTATTTAATGCACGAGGAGTAATTAGAAGGAATAATGTCAACATTTTGTTAATATTGTTAACCCCAGTGAATGGTTCAGAGGTCTGATTTCTCAGGAGGTTCACAGAAGCAGAGTTTCCTTCCTGCAGAACTGCTAGGATTCACAGAAGAGGAAGAAAAAGAGCCAGAGAAGCTTGAGGTTGCAGAGGTTTGGGGTTATGGAGAAGGAGACTAGTTGGAAGTCTTTGAAATTGAAAATGCATTTTCATGATAAGTTTTATGCACTTGCATACAACATTGTCCAGGATATTCATAACTTCCTGGGCTAAGTGTGTAAAGGTTTCCACATAAATTAGTAGCTGGAATTGAAAACTACTTACACCAATGCATAAGAATGTCAGTGTCATTGAAAACTTTATGCATGGGTCTTAGTGTTTTCAATGCAAACATATTTTCTATTTTCCCTAGCTCCCAGGGCCCCCAAACTTCTGTTTCTCCAAGATCTTCTGGCTCCAGGTCTCCCAAGCTTCCTCTCTCCTGGAACTGGAAACCATAGAGCCCATTCCCCAGAAACTCATTGAGTGACGAGGAGTGACTAACTCGGGAGAACAGGAGGAAAGGCCTATGGGAAATTCTTCTGGTTGGAAGGGAACATGAATAGTATGAAAAGTTAAAGGTCCTGATTCATGTCTCATTTACTCCAGTTTTACACTGGTGTAGCTCCACAGATTTCAATGGAGTTATTGCTGACTTGTACCAGTGTCAGTAAACCCCCCCCGCCACCACTGGACTATTATGACAGTGAGAATACTATACATGTGTCAAGGATTGTAACAAAAATTGCATGATATAATACTGCATTATCTGAAAAATAGCATTTAATATAATTAAAGACCATATTGTAGTGCATGTGACCAAAAGGGGCAGAACTAGCAATTTTACCTTGGTCATTTCCTGGCTTGTAAACGTTTACAGCAATTTTACAACCACTGACTCTGATTTTGCCATAATCCCATTAAGAACTAAGATGTAAGCTACCACTCCAGGAGAAAGGTATTAACTCAACATACATATGGGTGAGAAGACTGAACCCTTACTGTTTTCTTAGTATCATTTTTAATGAAATTTGTAAAATCTCTTATAAGTTTTAAGAAGTAGTGATAACTTAAAAACAGTGCAACAATCCCTCTTCAGATACATCACAGAATATTTATTAATTTTCAACCCTACCTTCACTTGCATGACGATCCCTAAAAACGTTTTTGGGGTGGACGTTAAATCCTTCTATATCATGTACTGAAGATGCTCTCCTTATACTACACATGCTTTCCTTTGATCTGGAATGAGTTAGTGGTGTACTTGTCTGCAGCGTGTCTGGGTAAAGTTGGTCCCATTGCCGTTTAGGTGACGAATGGTCAAGAGGTCCTGATATATTAACCAAAGGAGAACATCTGCTGGGCTGTATCAGTGCTTTTGTGTCATCCACTTCAGAAGGGCTACAGCTTTCTTTTGTGGGGGATTTAAAGCGCTTCATAGCCACTGAGTCATCACTGTGCTTAGATGAATCTACTACAACTGCATCAGGGTCTTCCTGTGGTAAGGACTGCTTTCTGTATGTTAAGAGTCTCAGTCCAGGTAACTTGAATCCGAAAAGTTTGCCTAGATATAAATTAAATAAGAAAGATTAATAACTAAAATTAGTTACTTGTGATAAAAATTTTTGGTCTTTCAAAATGCCAGAAAGTGTATAGAAGCACCAGTCATAAGTAATCTGTTAACACAGATCTAATGGGGTGTGCTCTTTAGCAACAGAATGCACAACTAAGAAATATTATATACAAGTGATATTGCTTTAGTTATCTTTAGACAGGTTTATGCCTCAGTTGAAGACAAGCTTTTGAGCTCAGTTCAAGGGTGATATATGATAGCCTGTGTTTTACAAAGGGTCAGACTAGATTTACCTAATGGTTCCTTTTGGCTTTAAAAATCTATGAAATCATGAAAGTCATGATATAACATGTAGTTGCCACATTACTAGGCAACCATGTCCTTAAATACATATTTGTGTTTTTTATTGTCAGCTAAATTTCATACACTTAAAAATGTATCTTTGCTATTTCACTGAAATCCATTTATTTACTCTATAACTTAAATTGGAAACTTACACATCCTAATTCTCCAGACAGGAAAACTAAAGTTAAGTTTCAGTTTTACCATGATCCCAGTCCGACACATATTTCATGTTTGTACATTTAAATTGTTTATTTTTTCTCTAGACATTTACAAATAGAAAGGAAAAGAGCCAAATTTTACCCTCAGTTACACCCATTCAGCATAAATACCTTCAGTTCATTTGCCTGGGTGTACATAACTAAGCATAACATATTGCATCTCAAGGGGGGTTGTATGATGATGAATGGATAATGATGCACCATAATAAGAAATACAAGTAGCAGAGGAAGTACACAAAATGGAGTAATTAAAGAAAAGGTGGGCAAGGAGTGGGGATGGGGAATTGCAAAAAAACCCAAACAAACAACAGAAATTCTTCAAGTAAATGTAACCAAACTAACAAATGGAAGCTCTGATGCCTTTGACATACAACGAATACAGTAACAGAAATTACCATAAAAGCTAGTTGAATAATGTAAAAACCATCATCAAATAATTAAAGTGATGAAAAATGCCACATTTCATTGAATAAGCATCGTGATTAATATTAATCTATATTTCTCTCTTAGGATTTTATAGTGCTACCCATCACCCTAGTATTTGAGCACCTCCTCAATTAAATCAATAGCAATAGTGAAATTCCTAGTGGATGTCATGGCATCTCTGACACTTTTCTCCCTTTTGGGGGTAAAAACTCCATTGGGGTATGGATTGCTTTTTGGTTGTTTTCAGTCCGTTCTGATTAGCAGTGTTTGTTTGTTGCTAGTTAATTTTTATTAATCTATAGCACTGAGATTAATCTGCTCATGCTTTGACTCATCAAAAGACAGAATTCTGAAATGTTTTGAAATAGTATGTCTTTCGCGGAAGCATATGCACAATAGCAAATGATAGCACAGCTTAGCCTATTTAATTTTGAAAACTAAAGTACTATATAGTCAATATTTAATTTCTGATTTTTAATACTAAATAAATGTATGAGAGATTTACCTGAAAACCTCCATTCCTATACAGTGTACTGTACACACAAAAATCTCCATTACGCAAATCAAGAGAGAAACGTGATGTGGACAGTTGATGGAGATGCCAATTTTCAATCTGTGCAATCAGGATTCAATAACAGTACATCTTGGGAGCTATTTTGAAACCTTTCTTATATATTTTCCCTAACAAATTATGAATACTTGAGTAAATTGCCCACAGTTAAATATTAGTGAAGTACATAAAAATCATTTTATATGGTTTTTAATGCACATGAAATTGAGTTACAAAGCAGTTTATAGATCACTTTTGCAGGCTTATTACATTGAAGGTCAAACAATTACTATAATACTTTTTTCATCAATTACATTGTACTCCTTTAAAATACCATTCATAAGATTTTCTTGCCTCAGATATTGTTAAAGGCTTTTTGCTGGCGTGCTCTATTTTAGTCATATTCATGGTGGTGCAGATGGTCTTTTCTGCTTCACCAAGTTAATATGACCATGTTAGACTGCATTACCGATTTAGCTGTCTAACTGTAGTTCAGCTGGAAAGAATACACAGTGAGAATTTTGCCCATTGCTAAGACTTTCAGGCATGAAATAGAAAACCCATATGAATATCTCTTTGTTATTCTTTTTTTAAACTGAAATAAATTCTATAACAATGTCCCCATTTTCTGCTTTTTAACTAGAATATCCTTTAAAATGGGAGGATTGTGGCTCATGTTCACAGTATGGACAATGAGCCTTATAATGTGCTGAATGTTCATTATAAAAAAAAAGTCAGATCCCTTCTGCAATACTGTAGCTGAAGCTAGCAGAAAGACCATCCACAATTTGTCTGAGTTGCACAGCACAGTCTCACTTAGTTCAATAATATAACATAGCCTGATGCAAACATTCATGGCCCCAGGCCAAAAGTCCCAATATAGACAAAAGTGTTAATGGGAGTTTTCTCTACAAAAAGACTACAGGATCAGTTTTTGTAAAGCAGGAAGCCCCTGTTTTAGACACTGTCATAAATATAAAGGGAAGGGTAAACCCCTTTAAAATCCCTCCTGGCCAGAGGAAAAATCCCCTTACCTGTGAAGGGTTAAGAAGCTAAAGATAACCTTGCTGGCACCTGACCAAAATGACCAATGAGGAGACAAGATACTTTCAAAAGCTGGGAGGAGGGAGAAAAACAAAGGGTCTGTGTCTGTCTGTATGCTGCTTTTGACGGGGACAGAACAGGAATGGAGTCTTAGAACTTTTAGTAAGTAATCTAGCTAGGTATGTGTTAGATTATGATTTCTTTAAATGGCTGAGAAAGGAGATGGCTGTGCTGAATAGAATGACTATTCCTGTCTGTGTGTCTTTTTTGTAACTTAAGGTTTTGCCTAGAGGGATTCTCTATGTTTTGAATCTAATTACCCTGTAAGGTATCTACCATCCTGATTTTACAGAGGTGATTCCTTTACTTCTATTAAAAGTCTTCTTGTAAGAAAACTGAATGCTTTTTCATTGTTCTAAGATCCAAGGGTTTGGGTCTGTGGTCACCTATGCAAATTGGTGAGGATTTTTACCAAACCTTCCCCAGGAAGTGGGGTGCAAGGGTTGGGAGGATTTTGGGGGGGAAAGACGTGTCCACACTACGTTTTCCCAGTAAACCCAGATCAAGTTTGGTGGTGGCAGTGGAAATCGAAGAGTAAAATAATTTTGTACCTTGGGGAACTTTTAACCTAAGCTGGTAAAAATAAGCTTAGGAGGTTTTCATGCAGGTCCCCACATCTGTACCCTAGAGTTCAGAGTGGGGAAGGAACCTTGGCAGATACGTATGTTGACTGAGGTAAGTTTGCTTAGGCTATGTCTACACTGGCACTTTTGTCTACCTTAACTCTCTCTCTCTCTGTTTAGTGTTTCTCAGTACATAGTGAAAAAAACACACACACCCCCCACGACCATCAAAACTTTCACCGACAAAAGTGCCTGTGTGGACGTAAAAGACCTCATAGTGATCTTTTCCCTTCAGACCTCGTTCCCCAGGGGCTCCTACAACAGGACTTCAGTGGGAACATTGGAACTGAATCATGGTAGGTAATGCAGCCTGTCCCCTCCTCTCCTATTAAGGCTTTCTATCACAGCACAATTTTCTCTGCTCCTGCATACCCTTCCTTTCTGGGTGATCTCCCATTGGTGCCTGGGAAATTTCATCAAAGGCTGCTCCGGGCTTCAGCCTCAGAGATCTGCATGCAGCTCTCTAATGCTTGATGGTAGAAATTTCTCATGCTTCCAAGCTTCCTCATACCAGACCTTAATTGTCCACAGAGTGCTTGGAATGGGCTGGATAATTATTGGTGAGGAACCTCTTCTTCATTAGAGGAAAAGATGGACTCTAGGCCAACATGTAGGGAAGCCTTCTATCTTCCTTAGTCCTGTGTTGAAGCATCATGAAAAAAGCTCCCACAACTCGTGGAGAACCCTAATTTAATTTGGAATTTTCAAACATGCCTAAGAAGCAGAGTTATAGCAGACAGAGTGCGGTACAACACTGTATTCAGATCCGGAAAAGGCTGAACCTTCAGCTATCTGACCTGACAGTGGTTAAAATTGCATTCCAGTTGTGATTCTGTGCAAAGGGTTAAATAGGCTTAGAGAGATATAGACTTCCTGGGCCATTGATAGGAAACTATAGAAAGCCAACAGTCTCAGGCCTTAGGAGTGGTGCTGACTGGAAAGATGTAGGGGCAGCTGGAAAAGCTGTTTTCATGTCACTAAGTAATAGTGTTAGCGCCAGGTTTTAAAATTACTTCTCCTACATCATTTTATGACTTTCCAGATGCTTCTCATGGATAGTCTCAAAGGTGTAAGTTACTGTTTTTAAGACGGACATTCCAGCAAAAAATTATCTGAATAGGGTTTCCATGGTAACCCCATGCACCTAAATGACAAGAAATTCCTAAGCCTGTACTATGTTACAGTTCTGTATCAATGGAAGGTAATGGCGTTTGGCCTGGGTACTGCCCCAGGGGTCTTTACAATGGTGATGGCACCAGTTCTATATCTCCTAAATACTTCAGCTGCAGAAATGCGTATTTGCTTACACAACATCTTCACTGCAGCAGAGTCAGAGATGTGCCTAAGGCTAACTATCTCAATTTCAGGTTTCAGAGAAGCAGCCGTGTTAGTCTGTATTTGCAAAAAGAAAAGGAGTACTTGTGGCACCTTAGAGACTAACCAATTTATTTGAGCATAAGCTTTTGTGAGCTACAGCTCACTTCATTGGATGCATTCAGTGGAAAATACAGTGGGGAGGTGAAGTGAGCTGTAGCTCACGAAAGCTTAAATCTCCCAACTGTATTTTCCACTGAATGCATCCGATGAAGTGAGCTGTAGCTCACAAAAGCTCATGCTCAAATAAATTGGTTAGTCTCTAAGGTACCACAAGTACTCCTTTTCTTTTTATCTCAATTTCAGTACACTTGCTGAAGGCACTGGGATTTCTGGTAGATGCAGAAAGCT